GCCACATAGTAGGGAGGGAAGGTTTATTGGTTGATTTTCTTTACAGATCCTGGTCAAATTTATGCAACTTTACAACTGCACCATCTGAAATAGCATGTGAAAATAAAGAATAATCTTTATTTCTTAAGGGTTGCCTTAGCAGGTGACACAAACTTGGATTATTTCTTATAAATCTATGCCTGAGAAAATCTGGAAAGTGAAGAGTTTTCTCAGGGGAGAGACATCTGCAGCTCCTTTAATGTTTAGAAGTTGAGATTATTTATTTTGAGGTTTTAACGAAGTTTCACTGTGATATTTTTGCCAATGCATACGCTGTAAAATGTTGCCGTGATCAAAAAATGAGATTAGCAGCTACAGTACCTAAAATGTAACACAACGGCTTTTTAGTGAGTTACGTAGTTCACTTGTGAACCAGTCTTCAGACAGGTAGATCAACTAATTGCCCTGGCATAAACTCCTTTGCTCCTGTACAGATCTTTGAAGTTCAGTGGCCTTGCTTCAGTTATCAGCAGAACAAGAATGGGGTTTTTTTACTTATTAGGCATTCCACAGAGGCCATATGAGAGGCTGATTCTCAGATTAAAACACACAAATAAAGGACCTTCTCAGTCAGGTGGCCAAGTGAACCAATTGATCTTTAGTTGCCAGTCAGACCAAAACTCTAGGGTCTGTTTTCAACTGCTATGTTATTCCTTCACAGAGTATATAAATTATAGCAACTGAACTTAAACCACACAAATCAAAAGATTGGGACTGACTGACTCATTGTGTGTTTGTACCTGACTGTTGTCTTGACTACCAGGATTTTGACCAGCCTTGAAAAGACAGAAAAACACTCCTAGAGCTTAGTTTTATAAACTAAATGTGTGAAACTGGTTTTATGTTAGAGAAGGTGATTTTTTTTCCTTTACTATTGATCAGTCCATTTTAATGGAACATTTCCAAGAGTGTTATATCAGCTGCTGTGCTGTATGTAGGTGGAGCAAAGGGTTCAAAACAAAAACAACATTCACTGACTGTTGCAAAGATGGATCTGCAAACACAAGTCATTATGCTGAGGCAGACCAGCAGCCTGTTTATTTAGCATCTAAGAGTGGCCAGTGCTGGAGATTTCAGAAAAGCTGCTTGTGGCTTCAAGTGCTCCTTTTGCCTAGGTGGACATATCATTGTTGCCATTGAGCAAGCTACACTACAGGTGTGAAGAGATTTTTGAATAGTCCTTGACACAGAAGACCATTCTTAAGAATCTGTAGAGAATCAGGGGGCAGGGAAGTTGCTGAAAATATTGCAACTGAGGATAAATTGTTAGACTATCAAAAGTTTTATAGTGACACAAATAAGTGGAGAGTAAATGATGCCTGGTACCTGAAATCAGCACAGCTACCAGCTTCTGATAATGTCATGTGCTGCTGAGAAATATGTCTAAGAATATTTTCATATTGCTTTAAGGAGCTGCAAATAGAAAAGCATTTTAAACTATGAACAGAAAGTATCTGTTGCCAAACCACACCATATAAGTGTATAAAGTAATCAGATCCTTTCAATATTGTTAGTGGTCTCTTACTGTATATACGATTTTCAAAAAATTTCATAAGGAAGGTAAAAACCAAAGTGGATATTCAAAGAAAGGTATTTAGTCATATTTTAAAATTAGATATCTTGTTGAACATTTGCTACCTAATTATTCATATCACAACGCTTGACCTTCAGAAGATACTCACCTTCATCTAAATTCACTTTTTGCTTCTTTCATTGATTCTTGGTACTGCATTTTGCTTCTTTCAAGACAATGAAGCTTTCTTACCAAAATGTTTGGCTCAATAGGAATGCATTCTTGCCTAATAGAGGCATATATAGCACACACTGAAGTACAGATACTAATTTACTTTTTTGAATTATTTTTTCATAGTACTTGATTTTCTCTGAGACAGGGTAACACAAAGAATCTTCTCCTAAGACACATCAACCCCAAATTTCTCTGTGTGAGGGATAGAGCATAGAATGAAAATGAGTTAGCCTTACTGCAACTTGTGACCTGAATGAGACAAAAAAAAAAAAAAAAAAAGGATAGTGGGGATGGGGGTGGATCTCGGGAAATTTATTTTCATCATTTTCTTTTTACTCAGTTTACAGCCACAGAATTCTAGATAGTTCCTCTTTCCTGTGAAAAAAGGGCTAAGTGCTGGGTTGGCAGAGGCATTGCCTTATTGATAGTTGCTGAAATACAATAGTGGTGCAACCTTGGGCAGTTTGCATTCTACTGTGTTCTATGATGCAGTTTTCAGTCTGAATGTGTATGCAGATCTCATGCCAAGATCTCGTGCTGTTTTAGAAATCACTCTCATCAGCATCAGAAGCACACTATGCACTGCAGAAAAATACTTCCAAATCTTGCTTGGCATGCTGGTGGGACTGTCACATATTTCAAACAACTAGAATCATAGAATCATAGGGCACCCCAAGAATCACACCATGTGCCTGAGAGCATTGTGCAAACACTTCTTGAACTCAGACAGGCTTGCTGCTGTGACCACTTCCCCAAGGAGACTGTTCCAGTGCTCAGCCACCCTCTGGGTGAAAAACCTTTTCCTGGTATATAACCTAAGCCTCCTCTAACTCAGCTTCATGCAATTTCCTTGAGTCTTGTCACTGGTCACAAGACTAAATAAATCGGTACTTGCCCATTTGCTTCCCCTAGTGAGGATGTTGAAGACCACAGTGAGATCTCCCCTCAGTCTCCTTCAGGCTGAACAAACCAAGTGACCTCAGTCACCCCTCATAAGGCTTCCCCTCCAGTCTCTTCATCATCCTTGTGGCCCCACTTTGAACACTCTCTAATGGCTTAATATCTTTTTTATATTGTGGTGCTCAAAACTGCACACAGTACTCACAGGTGAGGCTGCACCAGCACAGAATAGAGCAGGACAATCACCTCCCTTGACCGGCTGACAAAGCTGTGCTAAATGTACCCAGCACACAGCTGGCCTTCTAATGTAGGGATACATTTTCTCTAGAAATGCATTTTTATGCATGGTGTTGCTTCAGATGCTACACAGCGAGTTTTTTGTTGCCCTTATTTTTAGTCCTGGCTTTGAGCCAGACCCTTAGATATATTGGTTTCCCTACTGCTTTACACTATCCCTACAGATCTCATAGGAAGAGGCAGTGATTGAAGATAAACCTCTACTACAACACTGATATTTTACTCTGTCTTTGAGGGATTTGAGTGGGATGTCACGTCACGCTAAAGATATACTTTGAAAATATGAAAAATGTTTAAATCAATCTGAAATAAAGGGGTTGCTTTTCTTTCACTTGTGATCTTTTAGAGATAGACTATGAGTCCCAGAGACAGCGAGGGGAAGGGATTGTTCTGACCTTGGTAAGGTTAATCGTATGTGTTTGTTCTCCACCAATAGCAAACTGCTATCTGCAAACATTTGTAGAATATAAACTTAATTTCTTATTACTCGCCTGAAAAAGGAAAGAATATAGCACAGATAGTGATTGGTTTACTGCTGCATGGCAATATGCTCATCCTCAGAAAGGTACATTTGAAGCACAATATTGACCCCATTCAAAATTCTTTTCCTACAATGACATTATTTGATGCTGTATAACTTTTTATCTATCTTTTTCTAAATTAAATAAAGTATAAAAGAAATCAGACAAAATTAGGAATACAATTTGAATGTAAGGCTTGGTATTGCAAAACCAGTAATTTGATTCATGAACAGTTGCCTAAAATATAATTTAAAGAAATGGATAAATACCAAAATTACAAAAGTTTCCCTGTTAGAGAAATGCTTTCATTTCCCTGAACTCTATTCCTTTAACTGTTCATATGACTTGAGGAACTTTACAGCAAATAATTTGAAAAACCCATTGCTCCTATTTTTCTATTAAGTATAATAAACATGTTGCTGTTACTGACCTAATTATACTGCAGAGCTTCCTTTTATAGAAGGGATATTTGGAGTATTTGTACGTTTTCCTCTGTAGTCAACATCATTATCTGTAAGGAGTGACTGAATTTACTCTTGTAGGCTACAGACACGCCCATAACTCAGATGCAAGAATACAAAGCTATTGTTACAGAATCAAATAGGGTGTTTCACGAAGTAAAGTTGTTGTGTTCCCCAGGAACATTTAAAAGGTAAAATATTTTTTCAGTCTGAAGATAAATGTAAAACCATCTTCCAGGTGTATAAACTGCATAAACCAAGTAGAAGGATCCTAGCCAGACAACTTATTTTACAACTTATATTAGCTAATGCTTTCCAATGTAGCTGGTTATGTAAATGAACATTTCTTAGAACCTGCTATCTTCTACTATATTACAGCAAAACAGTTGTTTATTTCATCCAACAGACTCCAAAGCATTCACAGTGAGATAGTTACAAGTGCTATTTATTGGAGGTGAGTGTCCTCGGTGAAAATACTGTCTCTATATAAAAAATACATCAGAACACATATATTAAGTCAGATATCAAACCTACATGGTAGAAGGTTTTAAAACATGAGTGTAAGCTGTTCTGCCAGCCCATGTATAATTACACTACCAGTTTTTGTCTTTTTATTGTGGTGATCACAGAGCTTTAGAAATGCTGGAGGGAAAAGCCTCTGTAGGTCATCCAGTCCATTGTACTGCTCCAAGCAAAACTATGCCAACTACATCACCTGAACTGTACTCATAGCTCAGTCTTCAAAGCAACCAGGAATAGACATTTCTATATGCTCTATGTCTCTGGTCAGTGGTATTCCTCTTTGTCTCTTTCCAGTTTCTCAACACCCCATTTCAACAGAAAACACTGGACTGCTATCTGAGGTGAAAATTTCTTACTCATCAAGCCTAGACTGTCAGATTTACAGAGAGAATACTGTAATTCTCCACTTCCTCCTCCTCCTGTCTCAAAAAAGGATGCAATGTTGGCTTTTTTCCAGTCAGCAGGAACCTCCTCTGATCAACATGAATTTTCTTAGATTAGTCTCACCATCATTTCAGCAAACTCCTTCAATACTTCCAGATGTATTCCATCTGAAGATATTCAGCTGCTTTAAATAGTCCCCTGAAGCTTTTGCTTCTCAACTGTCATCTGCTTCTCTCTTTCCCAGCCATATTGATGGAAGCAGTGGTCTCAGAAAAGGGCTTTGCCTGTAAGAACTGACACAAAAGAATACACTGAGTATTTCAGCTGCCTGATTTGCTCAATGACATGGTGCCCTCCCTCCAGACGTTTGAAAGGCCCCCCATGACGACAAGAAATACCTATTTAAGGCCAATCCACCACCTCCTCTTCCCCAGGTGATCTGTTACTGACCTCCACAACAAAACATATCAAAATTTGTCCCATCTCACTTTGAACTCTTATTTCTTCGTGAAGTTTTCCAACATTCAAAAGTCCCTAAAGAGAGGGTGCAATTATCCACCCTTTTCCTGCCCTCATGTCTGTGCTGAACTGCCTGTTTCATCCATGTCAATGCTCCACTTTTTCATGCCACACCTCTTTCACTTGCACTCATCTCTTCGTAGCACTGATCCTAATTGTAAAAGCTGATATGTCTGACCCAGGATCCTTCCCTAACAGGACTTGTTGCTCCTCTGTTTCCAGGGCACTGCAGCCATATTTAAAGTTCAACAGCTGCAGGTTGAAATGGAGCCCTCCTCTCACTGCTAGACTTACACCCTGCTGGGTGGCTGCCCACCTGCTGCTTCAGCATTGCCTTCCCACCCTCAGGGTGTCTCCTGCCTCAGCAGAGTCTCTTGGAGATTCTATCAGTGTCTCATCTGTCATTCTTCACAGAAGGACTGCTCATTTCCTGGCTAGTATTGTTTTGCTTATTTTCATCAAGAAAAGGAAAGCAGTAGCAGATATCTCTGACTCGGTGTTCTCATTTCATTTTTCAGTTTGGACTCCGACCTGCAGGAACACCTATACACAATGTGAATAGAATAGCCTGGGTTGTGCAGATGGGTAGTCAGGCTAGCTGACTTCATAGTTATCTATGTACCTAAAATCTATGGTCTACAATAATTTCTCCTTCTCTTTAATTATTGGTGAAGCAGAATGCTATTCCAGCTGTGAGGGACACAGAAGAAGACGGTGTGTAGGAGATACACAGCTGAAATTCTGCAGCGTAAATCTAACCTCGCAGAGAAAGAGAGAGCATCAAATGTGTAGAACCTCCTTTTTGGAGCTGAAATGCCATCCAGCTGTGCTTGCAGAGAGAGGAAAAGCTAATGAGCTGGTGTCCTACTGTGGGAGTCTGTGCTGGGGATCTCTGGAAGCTCGCACAGCAGAAGACATTTTACTCTCTATTCTGGGGTGAATCGTACCTCACAGAGTGTGTTTCTAATTTTTAATGTGTTCCAGTGGAGAAACTAAACTGTGTGTATTTGCTGCTGTGAAATAGCTTTTCTGCTCTAATAGAAATACATCTGGTGACAAAGTGATGCATTTCTTCCTCAAAGGCAGCAGAAGAGATATGTATTTTTAGGAAAAGAGGCACCTTTAACTGATCTTTCAGTATTTCAAGACAGCCAAAAGAAGCTTCAGAGTAGACCTCTCTGGAATAAACTCCTGATGAAGACAGTCCACCTGTAGTCTTATCTGATAGTGGTTGGTTCACGCTTTGAAACATCTGTCTAATTTCTCTACTGTAATTCTCTAATCTTTTGGCAAGTTCCTGCTAAGCTTCCCAACAATGTAAGTTATTGAAATTAATAATTATTACAAAATAAATTGAGTTATTGAAGTTAATAAGTGAAATTAGTGAAGTCTTTCATTAGTGTCTCTTACATGGACTAAATACCTCAAGCATTATAATTTTTTTTTCTGGAACAAATAAAGATCAGTAGCATATGTCCATTCACTGAGATGAGATTTTCCTTTCTATTTTACGTCTTAGAGATACCTATGACACTAAAAACTTAAAGAATAAAAGAAAAAAATATCATGCTGGATAGAGACTCTTGAATTTTATGAAACTTTAGGTGCGATTCAAACAGTAAATCAGCAAAGCTTACCCTTTTTCTTTAATATATGGATATAGACCCACAGTCAGGGAATGGAACCAGACCATCCCCAACAGATACAGGATGACTTGAAATCACTGGAATCAGGTATGTTGATTTACATCAGTTGAAGTTACAGCCCATAATATTTAAATTGTATGTAAGCAAGTGGCTTATGGCTTGGATTTTTGCATCCCCTGACATAAAATAGTCTGCTTTATCAAAAAAACAGGGTCCTGATTCAGAAAGTACCCTTCTCAAGTGCCACTGACTCCAATATTTAACTAAAAAGAGACAGGCTTCCCGAACATTATACTTTAAAGGAAACTCTCCATTATAGTTCTTTTTTCTCTAAATCCTCCACAATCTTAACCGTGGCTGAAAGATTTAAAATAGGATTATATCAGACTTTATCCAGCAAGACTTCCAATTAGTTTTTAAGGCAATACTCATATTTTTACAATACCAGGAGAAGCAGCAAAATTTATGGATCATTAGGCCAGTAAAGCTTAGAGGAAAGTAGCTGCAGTTACTTTAGACAAGACGCGAATGCACCTATTTTTCTCAGATTTTTATGTTCTGGGTTTATACCATGTGTCACTGCCTGCATAATTCTGAGAAATGCTACTTTTTTACAATTTTTATCTTTTTCCAGTGCTAAATCTCTAGCCCTCCTTGAAGAGATGGAATGTTACAAGAGAGATAATAAATAAATTATTATCTTGTAACCTGTCTGTGTTCTCTTATTTTAGGATTTATTTGAGGCCCTCTGAAAGCTGCTACTACTTTTTAGGAAAAAGTGTAATAACACATGCTCTGAAAATGTCTTTATGTCTATCAACATAAAGTAATCACATTTTCTTCAGCATAATATGAAGCTAGAAATAATAATAACATCTTTGAAAGAAAATATTAGACTAGCTTAGTTAATTTAAAATGGATTTGGAACATTCAATTAGTCAAATAAAGATTCCTAGTTATACATTATTCTGCTTACTACTCTCAAATTATATGTGTGCTGTATGAAATGCCCCTGGGCTGCTGTACCCCAGACCAATAACCCATCACACCAATACATGCTTCTCTTGGGTCAACTCTGAGGTCAACACCATTATCCTGAGTAGTCACTTTGGCATCAAGGGGTCAAGCAGAATATGTATGCATATGCTTGCATGCATATGCAAGAATTTTGCAAAACTAAGGTCCTGTTTAGTAATCACTCAAGACTTCCCATTTTTGCATGTAGTGTCTCATCTTGCAGTTAATAAGAAATTTCATAGGACACTTTCTCATGAGGTTCATGGACATTCACAAACTTCCATGAATAAATCAGTCTGGAACAGTTACTAAAAAAAATAGATTTCAAATGCTATGGTTTAACCTTCCCAAATTTTGACTTTTTTTGTCTTTAGAACATAGAAATCATACAACTTTTTCTTTTATTCAATCTGACATTGAAAATAAATCAATTGTATTTAAGTGTCTTTCTCTCTTTCCCTGTAGTACTATTTTGACAGCAAACCTGATCCCTTCAGTACTACCTCTTTCTTTTATCTCAGCAAATGTTGTCACCAGTTTTGTAAAGGAATTTCATTTCTAACTCATGGATCGTGGCATGAATAATATGAAACACCCCAGACACAATGCTGACAACTGAAATCTCTGGCAATTATTCCATTTACTGAAGAAAGTGAACAAAAAAACCCCAGCACTTCACTATGATTAGCTATAATTTTGTTGAAATTATACGCACACTTACAATGACACTTTCAACATAGTGTGTGCACATCTAATTCAGAAGAATTTATTTCCAGAGACCTGTCCCATGATTTATCAGGACTGTGTGCATTTCTATAGAAAAGATTCAAGAGTTTAATTTTAAAACATACTTTGTATGTGAATACTGAGTGTGGTACCATTTTCATAAAGTGCTTTACTAGATATTAATAAAAAGACTAGATAGCTTCCAAGCAAGAGGCACTGAGATGCTACTGCAGCAAGATGTTGAATAATTTGACACATCTACAAGTAGTTTGACTCACAGAATCATAATTTCACTAGAAAATGCCCTAGAAAGGGAGAGAATTAAGTCAGGTTACAAAATAAACTGTTCAGTTTACCTACATCTCCCTCTCTGCAGGAAATTGTGAAACATATAGCAAATTCAAGACCCATCTCTCTTTAGCCAGCACACACAAAAAGAATGAAGTCAGATACTACAGACCAAAATACTGCGTGCAAAAATGCATTCTGGTGCAGAGGAGAATGGCTCCTTCTGCTTATTTATTCCCTTGCAAATCATGGCCATGGTTTAAAACCTTCATGCCTCTGCCATCCCTTGATCTCTTTCCCTCCGGTTTGTTATGAATCAGAGAAAAAGATATTTTTCTGAGAGTTACCCCCTTTAGCTTCTCAGAATATGGATTAAACAACAGTTTATTTGAAAGTATGATTAACATGGCAGCAAAGGTGTCCAGCTGCATCTGTGAATTGGCTGTTATGTCTTATTGGCTGCTCAGTTGTTACAAGTTACATAAGCAAACAACCTCATTTCCATGACCTTGAGGGGTCCTTCGAGGTTTCTGAATCTTTCTTTTAGTTCATGGTTTGAGATCTCCAAAATCCAGTTCCCTAGTCTAAACCCCCTCCTACATCTCAACCCAGTGTGAGATGTGTTTTTTCCAGACAAAACACAGGCTGTACCATTGTAGAAAGTAAGGCTATAGTAATGTAAGTACAAGAGTGGAGCTAAGTTTGTGATAATGCTATATTGATGTGTAGTAGAGAGATTTTGATTACATTTTAGTTTATTGAAGATTGCATGTTAATTAGAGTTTTTCAAATTGTTGTGATATGTTGACATTTTGCAAAAGCAGGGGGTGGAGTGTTGTAGTGGTTTGAACCAGGTTTTCCCCCTGCAGTTATAAAATGGTAAAACCCCAGGGGGTGGTGACCCTTGAAGTTTTTAAGTTTTAGCTAATGAGTGCTTCTGCAAAATATAAACATATCCCAAGCAGACCAGAAGAGAGAGTTGTAGTTTGGTGGTAGAAGAGGTAGCCATGTTGTAGGAGCCACGAGGAGAAACAGCAGCAGCAGCCCACTGGGGGCTGGGCTCTCCCCAGCCCCAGTGGGGGGCTGTGCAGACCTGG